CCTTTGAAGGCAAATGCAACGTGAATGTTTAAATTCAATGACTGTATGTTTGCGAGGAGTAGTGGGGACTCCTGAGCAGGCCACACCGGTTATAATTATGTATAACTATATATTACTACATATAAATATATATAACAATATTTAGCTATAGATAGATAGATAGATAGATAGATAGATAGATAGATAGATAGATAGATAGATAGATAGATAGATAGATAGATAGATAGATAGATAGATAGATAGATAGATAGATAGATGGATGGATGGATGGATGGATGGATGGATGGATGGATGGATGGATGGATGGATGGATGGATGGATGGATGGATGGATGGATGGATGGATGGATGGATGGATGGATGGATGGATGGATGGATATTCATTCTAGTTTTCCTAGAATGAATATACATTGCAATTGTTTGTTTAGAAAGCTAGGGACTAAATGTTTTCAAAATAAAAAACTAACAGTCCATTCAGGACGCAAATGATCAAATGCATCCCCAAAATGTATTTTGCAATCTCAGCGAAAATAATAAATGAATTAATTTTTTGGACAAGTCGCTTTTTCTCTTGCACAATTGAATTTATTTTAAAATTTCAAAAAGGAATTTATTGTTTTCATATCTCAAATACTTTTTTACGTGTTTCATAAACAAGCTTATTTTGCTAAATATGGTTTTAAATATTATCTTTATGAGATTTTAAATGACACCATAAGAAAAAAATTAAAATGTTGTCTATTTATTTCTCAAAACAGAATAAATGTTGTATATTTTAATTATAAATGTTACATCCATGTTTGAATATGCACAACCTGACAAAGTAAAAAACAAAAAAATCTATACAAAGTAATCCATAAGGTTTTAAGATTTGTTGGCAGAATTGTATACATTTAAGCTAAATGAATATGGTGCCGTGTTTGGCTAGATGTCAGAGAATAATAGGACTCAATCAATCTTTTTAAACGTGTTTCAGGTGAAAAACTCATTATCTGGGTATGATGAAAGTAAAGGACCTCAGGACTCAGAATCAGCACTGCCTACTAGTGAAATGACAGTGAAAGCGCTATTTCAAGTAAGTGTAGTACACTACTTTTGACTTTTATTTCACACTCTCTCTCTCTCTCTCTCCCACTCTTTATCCATCCCTCTCTCTTTCTCCTTTCCCCCTCTCTCTCTCCATTTCTCTCTCCATCCCTCGGCCTTCTCTCTCCCTCTCTCTCCACCTTTCTCACTCTAACTCTCTTTATGCTTATGTTTTATCATTTTATCTTTTACACTCAATATATCCATTGCATATGTAAGCTTTCTATGCATCCATTGCATCTGTCACGTCATATGCATACATTGCATCGGCTACACTGAAATGATTCGCACAACGAGTAATCTTTTACTGCCCACAACAGCTTTAATTCCATTGCCCCATTTTTTGTACATGTCTGGTATGTAAAATAGTTATTTAAATAATGTATTGATTTCATTAAAACTTTTAGAACCTTGGCCTTGCCGTCCTTACAGACCTGACAATCACCACTAATGAGCCAGGTAATTGCTATTTTTATTTTAAATGATTAATTAACTAGTTTGGCGCTGTTGTTTTTTTCTCGAGTTTTTACCAGCAGCAATAATTAAATAGGGGCCCAGGAGGAAAGATTTAATTATAAAAATGCAAAAAAGTCTTAAAACATTTAACGGCTTAGCTGGCATATCGCTTTTTTTTTCTTTTTTTTCTTTCTTACATTTTTCTTATTATTATATTAAGTATGGAATTTTTTTTTTTTTAAAAGAAGGTCTACTGAGACAAATAAAGTTAATTCCCCGTGATCGTGTGTTTAATTTCTATTAAAATTGAAAAGTTAAGTAAAATTGACAGATTTTGTCAAATCGAAAGGTTTAATAAAATCGAGTTCTCGGTCTCCGGTTGACAAGTCTGTGGTTGCTTGTCGATTAGGAGGCGTCGACCCCCTCGACGTTACCCGGGAAACACGACCACTGGGCGCGTCCTGCGTGGACAGACAAGGGATGTGCTCGGTACCTGCCGTACATAAAACAGCTCCTACAGGGCTGAAGGTTGCGATATTTCCCAACTGGAACAATAGGCAATGACACGGTAGGGATCATGATTACAAGTTGCCGTTAATGGATGAGGCGAGAGGTGAAGGTGGTAACCTCTGGCCGATGATTCTTAATACGCAGCCCTGAGAAGCTGCTCCAAGGCAACCGTTTCGTCCCAGCTACATCGCGAATTAGTTGCGTTGTGGAAACCCACTGTAGAATCCCTCTTATAGGGCGTCTAACGCTTCCTCGGGATGGGTGGGGGAAGATATTAGGACGTAAATTTTTCCACCACGACTCCTGAGAAAGTCGATCGTGTGCACTGTGTGCGAACACAGTGTCGGACCGACCGGGTGTCTTTGGTTTAGGACGGCCCCCGGCGGAGACCTGGTCCAGCAGACTCGGGTGGGGGCCGTACAGACAAAGGGAGATCTCAGACGTGCCGCTCCGCGGCCCGATACCGGGTTGGAGAGGGGTGTTTTGGGGAGGGCATAAAGAGCACATGCTCGACGGCCCACTGACGCTATTTCTTAATGTAACAAAGAAAATGTAAGAAAATGTGACTATTAAAACCATAAAAAAAAATTACAACAAGAAAAAAGTGACCAAAGTTTTTGCAGATTTTTAAATTTAAATCTACCGATAATAAAAAGAAAAAGCGATTAACATTTCATGAGGGTATTATTTTAGTAAAAGTTTTTTTTTTAAAAACAATTGACATTTTATGAGGTTATTATTTTTTTGATGTTCTATTTATCAGTTGTTTCAATAGACTCTGGTAAGTTGAATGTAATATGTTTCCTTTTTTTTTATTTTTTTTTTTTTTTTTTTTTTTTTTTTTTTTTTTTTTTTTTTTTTTTTTTTTTTTTTTTTTTTTTTTTTTTCTTTCTTACATTTTTCTTATTATTATATTAAGTATGGAATTTTTTTTTTTTTTAAAAGAAGGTCTACTGAGACAAATAAAGTTAATTCCCCGTGATCGTGTGTTTAATTTCTATTAAAATTGAAAAGTTAAGTAAAATTGACAGATTTTGTCAAATCGAAATGTTTAATAAAATCGAGTTCTCGGTCTCCGGTTGACAAGTCTGTGGTATTTTTTTTTTTTTTTTTTTTTTTTTATTTTTTTTTTTTTTTTTTTTTTTTTTTTTTTTTTTTTTTTTTTTTTTTTTTTTTTTTTTTTTTTTTTTTTTTTTTGGTGTTTTTTTTTTTTTTTTTGGTGTTTAGTTTTAATTTTAATAATGTAGTAAAAGTTATTAAAAAAAACAATTAACATGTTATGAAGGTATTATTTTTTTGATGTTTTATTCATCGATTATTGCACAAGAATCTGGTAAGTTGAATGTAATCATAATATGTTTCCTTTTTTTTATTTTTTGGTGTGTTCTTTTTTGTGTGCGCTGTTGTTTAGTTTTAATTTTAATAATGTAGTATAAGTTTGTATAAAAAAAGAAATTAACATGTTATGAGGGTATTATTTTTTTGATGTTTTATTCATCAGGTATTGCACAAGAATCTGGTAAGTTGAATGTAATATGTATTGTGCTGACTGTATTTGACCTATCAATATTTCGAAGACCTTACGGTAAGCCACGTACCGCTCTCTCAGCCTCGCGTCATAACCCTCACATCAGGAACGCGAGTCTATGAATAAGTTTGACCGTATTCTTTGCTGTAGCCACGTGGTCGGCAAATGCTTCAAAGGTCAGCAGACGATGGCTTGGTCATTTCTTGAAAGCCACAGAAAAGTGTCACTGCCAGCTGAAATAGCAAAATAGCTCTGTTCCAATAGGCTAAAAAAAAAATATTGTTAAACCGATAAAATGTGTTGCTTTTCTCTGTCTGGCTAAATATTATGTCCTTTTTTTTTTAAAGGGTCGTTTTTTTAGTGTGTGTGTGTTTGTTTTTTTGTGTTTCTGTTTTTTTTTTAGTTTTTATTTTGGCGTGTTCTTTTTTTGTGCGCTGTTGTTTAGTTTTAATTTGAATATTTTAGTAAAAGTTTTATGGCCTAAAAATCGTTTTGGGCCATTGTGTTAATGTTATCGAATAAAAGAAAAAAAAAATGTTCATTTAGATGGACGATCTGCAGTAGCTTGGGGTTTTACGAAGTTAAAATGTCTTGAAAAAAAAAATCATTTATTGTTATTTCTCTTATCATCACATGCAACTTTTAAATTTTTCTTTTGTATTTTTATCATTTTAAAAAAAATAATATTTTAAATATTTTCTTAATTATTTGCATTTGCTTTGGTATGCAGGAATGCATGCTTAGTAATGTAATTTAATTTAATTGGAAGTAGTTTTTTTTTAAACTTGCTAATTACTGAAGTCAGCTATTTTGTAAGTAATCATAAGTCAAAAACATGAGGGACATGTTTCGATAGTCGCGCATGTCTACCGAAAAAGTAACCCCTGCCACCAGCCCTCACCCCTACTCAAACACGCATTATACACCAAGTGAGTTAGTCTCACAATTATGATTTAAGATCATTGGTAAACGCTTAATTGATCAAATATAATCGGTCGCAACTTGACCGAGAAAAGTCTTTGAGAATGATTCACAAATCGTTGAGTCTGTTGGATATCGGAGCATGGGTTGTTTATTGCCCTAATAAATCGTTGTCGTAATGAAGCCTCACATAATTAACACAGTGGGATTTAATTAAGGATCACTGTTCTGTTTTAATATTTTTTAAAAGTAAGACTGTGGCACAAGAAGAATAATTTAAAAACAATTATAATGCAACGATTGTTTTATTCACCACGTTCGCTAAGATTTTAATTTTTTTTAAAAAGGGGGGGGGGTATCTTTAAACGTTTTAGTTGGATTTGATCAGGAGACTAATTTGTTTTGAAATACCGGTTGTGCCTACTGATAATCATTAATGTCTTCCCTGGCAAACATAAAGTCTTGTACTGACAGAAAATTTCATTTAAACGCCTGTGTAGAATATCAGCTCAGGTCGAATAACAAAGGGCCACTGAAACCTCCGTTACCTGGCAAGGCAGATATTACCCCAAGACCGGAAATTTTGTTGGACGCTCCCATGGCGGATGTGGCCAAACACGCACCACAGGAAGTAGAAAGCGTCCGCTCCGTCTTCCCAGAAAGCTGGCTGTGGGCCAGCTCCGTGACGAGGTATATCATCGAACAGTGTTCCCCGCATATGGTGGCGGTTTAGGAACTATGACAGCAGGCTGTGCAAAACCTTAGAACCTGAGAGACTTAGATCAGATGTCTAGATTGTAGACCTAATGCTCTAATTCAACAATTTTATCTGGTTATTGGATCTAATTGCATGCGTATTCCTACATGAAATGAGATAGATGCACGATTTATGTAGCGTCTTATACTCTATTAGAAGTTATAACTCTAGATACACGCATGTTTGCTTCAATGTTTCATCTTCTATTAGAAGTTAACAATTTACATAACTTTGCGTTTACCTGCAGTATCTGCCAAATATACGTTACTGAAATAAATAGACTAAGAATATTAACCTTGTCTTCATCTGTAAGATAATTTTCCTCTGAAAGATGACTAACAAATACACTATTAGCGTGTTGATTTAACGACATAGTCGTAATGGGAGTCGCTTAGTAACTTCCTTGTTTGGTCACATTATGAGAGTAAGCCATCACTAGGCTGCTACACACAAAAAAAATATACTTCATCAGTGCTTCCCCATGTCATGTTACTTAAAAATTTTACCTTTCAAAATATTCTGGAATACACGCGTTTTTTAAATGAAATACATGAATGTGACAATAAATATACGTCAGTTATGATAAAAGGAAGAAAGCTATTTCAAGAAAAATTTGTGAGCGATATTCGCTGGGAACTATCAATACTATCATCGGCAGGCTGCTTTTGAGCTCCGTGCGTGCCCATGACCTCGTTTGCGTGTTTATTCAATATTTGTGTTGGAATCATTCCACTTTGTTTATTTTATTGTTAATTTTCATTGGACGAATTGTCGGCATAGCCATGACATCATTTGCGTGTTTATTCAATATTGGTGCGGCGAAGGAATATTTTAATAACCGGTTGGAACAAGATTTCAAGTGAATAATTAACGAATGTCCAATTTGTCAAGCCATTGTTTTAAATTGTCTTTATCCTTAAGCAGAAACTTATGCAGACTTATACCGCTGTCCTTAACTTGACTGTTTGAACAGCCAAAAGCCGAACATTGCCTAGACATCTTGAATTACTAGTTGTAGTGTGTGACGGGCTACTGTTGTCAAGCACTAGTGTGTTGTATACAGCCTACCGGAAGTCTTACTCGTTTTTACTTACATCACGTGACAAATCAATCGACTAAGCGACTCCCATTTAAGTGTTAATGGTGCGCACCATCTCGCTGCGGACAGTGTTCATGGTGCGCACCATCTCGCTGCGGACAGTGTTCATGGTGCGCACCATCTCGCTGCGGACAGTGTTCATAGTGGTAACCAGATTTGCTTAAACATATCGCTGAGTAAAGACTCCTGCTGACCCCTGCTCAGCGAAACTTTTGTTCGCGTACTTCAGTTAGAGTTTCCCGCGTACCTTCACAGCTGAACAACAGCTGGATAAGATAGACGGGTATAGGAAGTTCGCACAATATTAAATAAATGTGCATTGAAAGCCTTCCCGCAGCTTGGAAAATGAAAATGTATCGAATGATGAAGCTGCTCCTTTCGTTGATCCAAATTAGTCAAATGACGATCTTCTATGAGATGGCCAAGTAAGCTGTAAACATGATAATCATGTTTGTTAGTTAGTTACACCCTTCGCTAAAAAAATCACATGTTTTAAATACATAAAATCAAGTAAAGTAAAACAAAGTAAACTTTAAACCAGATTCCAGATTTTATTTTGCGATTGGAAACAGCTTCTCATCATCCTGTAAAGTCATGCCTATCCACGAGACACACCCACAACTTAAAATTCTTTCACAGTGATTTGAACTAGTCGAAGACGGAGAAACTTTCAATGATCTGAAAACATTTGAACAGGTGTCAAGCCACTTTTGTATTTGTAGATCACATGGCCAATTTGGCACACTTGGATTTCAACTCGGCTTTGAGGGTTACCGGCAAAAAGACAAATGAATTGAGGACCTCAAATTTAATAGAAGTGGAATTTATTCGCTCCATTTTTCCTGACCAGTGGCTCTGGAACAGTTCTCTAACGGGGTACAACGTTGCTTTTATTTTATTATAGACCGTCATCCATATCTTTGTGCATCGTTTGCTATCCCAGTGCCTATATCCCTGTTTGGTGTTGTGCGGGCTGATGTATGTTTCATGGTGTTGACAAAATACTTTATAAACGGAACATGTGTGTGGTTGATGTAGAAATGATTTGAATATGACTCACGTTCTAGTTTGTCCTTAAAGCGCCTTCAAAATACTAGTTAAGAAAACCGGATGCGGATAAGTCTGGTCTACGTCAACGTCATATCGGCAGAGGTCTCGATTTATTTTAAGTTTAACCAACGCGTTTTGAATTATTAGCAGTTTTCGTTTTTTACAACTCAAATCGAATATTTACGAAAGGAACTGAACTTCTGTAGTTTTATGGGAATCTAATATTTGATAAAATGTATGAAAGTTTTCCTAACTTAAAAAAAACACCCCACAGATCCAAACTTGAGATTCCTTTGGCTTTCTAACAATAAAAAAAGTACCTAAAATCGGAAAAAATCAGTGAAAAAAGGCCTAAGAAAAGTGGTCAATCAAAGGGAACTCACGTGCCAGCAGAAAGGGTCAGAGTTCATATGCCCGAGACTTGGCTGTGGACAAGTCTTTGTTCATGGTAAGGAGCGTAATCTTTTTACTGTGTCATTTCCTGTAGCACCTTGGATGTCAACTCGTACTAAATGACTTAGGTGTCGACTGTAGGAAAACCTAATAATAATTCAAGTGTCTATAATAATCGGCACCGAATGTGTCTAACTAGATTTTCTTCTTTTTTTTTTTTTGAAACAGTTAATCGTAGTTTCAACCAATGAAATGTGCGTGTGAATAACTAATTAATAGCTCATTTAAATGGACAAGAATTTTAAATACATTTTAATCTATCAATCAATCAATCAGTCAATGAACCAGTCAATCAATCAATTAGTTAATCAATCAATCAATAAGTCAATCAATTAGTCAAACATTTAGTCAATCAATAAAACAATCATTCAACCAATCACTCAGTCAATCAATCGTTCAATCAATCATTTCTATTCGAACAAACGCATAAAATAGGAACAAGGCTAATTATGAGTTCTTATTATTTCAAAACGATATTAAAAAAAAAAAAATATGGAATACCATGAGCTGACCTTTGAGACGACCGACTTCTCATTTGCTCCAGTAAAGTTTAGGATTAGGTGATGGCATAAATGATTATGTTGAATTCTTATAAATTTTAGTGTTACATTTTAATCAAATATTTAAGTAAGGAATGGAACTTCTGTTTCTGTAGTTTTATGTGAATCTGATATTGTAAAATATATGAACGTTTTCCCAACTAAAAAAAATTATGTGTTAGTCTGTTCATCAATGCGATTGTCCTAGGGGGGTCGAAAGGCCACATTTCCGTGAGCAGTTGATGCAAATTTGATATGGCTAGTTCTAGGAATTGTGATGCCAAAGCTATATTGCATTTGGCTAGTTCTATGAGTTTTACAGTCGTGTGTTTGTACACCCAAACACTGCTATTTTTTTTTTTTCTAAAATGAAATGTATATAAAATTAAAATATTCTTCATTATGGACATATACCACTAAACTAAATAAACAGTAACGTTATTGCCGTTCTCGTGACTTAGGACAGCTTAGGTCTTTACTTCCTCTCTAATGATCTTTCTAATAATAACATTTCTTAATTTCCTTATCGAAATGTCAGGCTCGGCTAAAAATTTCTTTTTGTTAAAATTTGATGAAATAAATTTTTTGTTGCCTATATTATAATTAACTAGAATAAAAGACCCGATGTTATCGGGATAATAATGATAGGTCCTTTGCGTAAATTTCTAACTGCTATTGCAAAAACCCAGTCTAACTTATCACTACTTATATCACTTTTGTCACTAAAGAATTTAATGAAGGGACAATTACTACGCTAGAGAAATACATTAGATTTACCCCATTTCGTGCCCTTGAATTACAACTTTTTTTCTCTATAAATTCTTTTAGAAACCTAATCTTAAATTTACAACAAAAGCTATATATATGATATAAGTATATGTAATATGACAGGATTTCGATATATTGATATTTTCATAAAAAATTTAACAATATTTATGCCTTTAAAAAAAATATATATATTATCAGAGACTCGTAAAACACAGAATTATTTTATCTATAAGACTCTCGCAACCGTTTTTCACCCCTAAAACAGACTTGCGTAACTTTAAAAAAAAAAAAAAATGTAAATCTCATAAAAATACACACCTCGTTACTTTTTGCAAAGTAAAAATAAAAGTATAATTTCATTTTTGAAAGTCAATATTAACCAATCTCTATTTTTTAAATATTACTTTTTCAAATGTGTAAAAGAATTGGGTTTTGAGATTTAAGGGTATGCTTATGTAAATGTACCCAAGATTTCTTAACGCCATTGATTTTATTAATTGGTAAACATATTTTTATTTGTAAAAAGAGAATTAAACATCTCTTTTTTCACAAATGTAACACCATAGGATTTCAATATATTTTCATCCACGTAAAAATGTTCACATCCTCTTTCATATCTCCGATTTATTTTGAGACATATTTTTTGCCGCCTTTGACAAAGTGACCAACCCCTCCCCTACCGAGATTTACTACATTTATAAAATCTTCCCCCGGATTTATTATTTTGAGACGTATCTTGTGCTGCCTTGGACAAAATGAATATACCCATATTTGTGAAAAGAGAAAGTAGCATCTCTTTTTTCACAAATTTAATTCCATAGGATTTAAATATATTGTCATCCACGTAAAAATGTTCACATCCTTTTTCATATCTCCGATATGTATGTACACAAGAACGTTAGTTATTAATCAAATTGATTACTTTATTTTGGGACGTATCTTGTATTGCCTTGGGCAAAATGAACATACCAATATTTGTAAAAAGAGAATGCAACATCTCATTTTTTCACAAATGTAATACCATAGGAGTTAACTATGTTGTCATCGACCGTAAGAATATACGCATCTTATTTACTACCTCCGAAACATATTTGCCCAAGAATATTAATTATTTATCAAATTCATTCCTTTATTTTGAGACTTATCTAGTGCTGCCTTGGACAAAATCAACATACCCATATTTGCTGTAAAAAAAGAATGTAACGTCTCTTTTTTCACAAACGTAATAGCATAGGATTTAATAAATATATATGGTCATCCACGTACAAACGTACACATCTTATTTCCTACCTCCTATATTAATGTACCCAAGAAGGTTAATTATTTATCATATTCATTCAATTATTTTGAGACCTATCTTTTGCCGCCTGGGGCAAAGTGACCAACCCCTCCCCCACCCAGATTTAAATAAATTTAGAAAATCTTCCACCGGGTGTTAGTCCCTTCCATACCCAAAGAAACATATTTTGCATTTCATATGGGTCGTTAGGATTTGCATGAGGTATAAGTGCATTAGTGAATGCTATTTAGCTGTGGAGTTGCGCTGCACTGATTGACTAAAACGGAATTTTCTTCTTAGAATTATAATTAAAGGTTAGTTCTTCTGACGTTATAAATTTAATAAAAGTATATTTTTGGAATAAAAAAAGACAAAGCTTTTTAAATATGAAAATATACAAAGCAAAAATGTGGGTGTTTTATTAACAATTTAAAAAAACAATCAATTGTATTTTTTACTTGTACTTTTAAGATGGGAAAATACATTATCAGTTTTATCACGCGTGGTTAGCAAATTGAAAGAATCCTAAGAGTTTTGGCGAAATAGGCTCTTCGCGCTATGACGTCATTTGCGTGATTATTTGTAACAAATTAATTTAAAGTTTATTTCGCAATATTAACAACGCACTAAAAGACTCACTAAAAACGACTGATACTTGTGTTTTCTCGATAATGTGACTACGTTATAATTCTTTGATCATGATTGATTTATTTTTTTTATATTTTCATAACTTTCAAACACATATAAAATGCTTAAAATACTTCCTTAGTTGATACTTTAAATGTATTTGTAATTTTTAATAACATAACGCTAAATTTAACTAAAATAAAAGCGGATTTAAATTTATTTTTTGCGCATTAAAAATTTTTCGATTTCCGTAAAATAATGGAAAATAAATATGCTTGTTTTTAGGAATCCGAACGTACTTAAAAAGTATGTCCATTTTGGCGTTATGTGAACCTAGCCCATTCTTATATATATATATATATATATATATATAGGTTTCATAAACATGTCACAATGAAGCAATGCTAAAGATGAATAAATAGATTACCCTCTGTACTCTTATCTTGCATTAGAAACATAATTCTTTTTTAAAGCAGCAAACGCTAAATACTAACAAACATGTTCGCATCAGTATTCTAAATACTAACTCTTTAAATTCAAAACACATATAGTTTTTTTTTATAATATAATATCTAGATTCCTATCAATCCTTTTGGTTGGGTGGGCCCCATAAAAATTATTCAGATAAATTTTGGAGTTACCCCCCCCACACCCCTTTTTTTTAAAGTAAAAGTTACAGAAATGTGTCGCTTTTTATGTCTGTATACTTTGGAAGTATAAAACTTTTATTTTACAGTTTCATTTTGTAATGAATCTCAACCTATAATATGTTCCTTTAAGTGTGTTTAGAAAAAGATGTTCCCTCTATATTCCACCCCCGATGCAGGGGTGGACTGGGGAGTTCAAGCGGCCCGGGGAAAAAAACAAAAAGCGGCCCTATCTTCATGACTTTTATTTTTATTATATCACCGGTCCTAGCGGCTCATCTGGAATCTTCCCGGTGTCCCGGCGGCCCAGTCCACTCCTGCCCTGATGTGTGTAGTTTGCTCTGCATCTAACCAGCATGTTTTAAAAGATTTTGCATGGTATTTTTAGTTACGCAGAGCTCTAAGCACTAAACTTTTATTTTTAAAAAAAATTTATTTAACCATTCTGATTCAAATCATCCCATAAAATTTAGTAGCTGTTTTAAGGGCTAACTTGGGTATGATGCTACATTGTGTTTAATAACAGTTTTAAACTGCTAGCTTACAAGTTGTTGATGAAACGAAAAAAAAAATTAATGTTCAAAATATAATTATATTTCAGCTTCACTTTCAAACATTTCAAGTAATTGTGTAATTGTTGTTCAGATATTTCAAGTAATTGTCTAATTTTTGTTTAGATATTTCAAGTAATGAGCTAAATGTTGCTTAGAAATTTCAAGTAATTGCTTACTTGTTGTTTATAAACTAATGTTTTTTGTAAAAATAAACTTATTAATTACCTTTAATTAAACAATTTTAAAGCTAAATTTTATATAAATTTACATGAACAGAGGTTTTCAATAATTTTTCTAAAAATCGATATAAAAAATCATTGAACGGCCCACCCTTTTCACCTATAAATTGTAAGATGTGAACTAAGCATTATTACAATATCGAGGCATTGAGTGATTTAAAATCTGTAGGAAGTGAAATTCGACTCAAAATACTAAAGAACGAAATTTTTTAAAACTGCGTTCAGTGGTTGAATGATTTTGTACGGTATACATTTATTTTCAAACAAGTGGACCCTCGGATGACGACATTAATTCTCTCTTTGACTCTAATCTCTAACCGAAATAATGGCTCCAATTGACTTAAAGTTACATTTAACTAATCTGTTCCTGCCTTAGAAATCTGGTATACGTATTTCTTTCTTACGTGTTTCGCTATAATAAATAAACAATAACAGTATTGCCATCATCGTGATTTAAGATCGATTAGGTGTTCACTTCTTCACTAAGGCTATCCCTATAAATAACACTTTTCACTTAAGGCGCCGCAGTGGGGGTTAAAACGGAAAATATATTTTTTTAAATAGCAAAATGCATTGTTTTGAAAGCGGCAAAGGGGCGAACTATGTCTATGGCTTTCCAGGCGACGCACTGCTGAGATGGTGGAATTGTTTGAACAGACGAGTGTCCGTACACCGAGGCACTACTGAGATAGTGGAATTGTTTGAACAGACGAGTGTCCGTACCGCGAGGCACTACTGAGATGGTGGGATTGTTTGAACAGAAGAGTGTCCGTACACCGAGGCACTACTGGGATGGTGGGATTGTTATGTAATACGTGTACGTTCGTTCGAACGCCCCCGAAGTTCCGCTCCTTCAGCGTCATGGTTCGTTGTCCGAGGTTCCACGGAATGTTTAAACCACGTGGGGCTAGCAAAACCAACCGAAAACCGTATGTCAACTCTTTGCGGGCCACGTGTTAGTTAACCTAGTAAATAAAACAATTCTAAAACCAGTCTCGCATTGGGATTCATTTAATCGTACTGAGAAAATACACCCACACGGACCGCACAAACACCTACATCACCACGCACCATACAAACACATTTATCCATTGAATCCATTTAATGATAATGCAAAGCTTTTTTTTTTTTTTTAAAAGATTAAATATTTCAATAAATTTAAAATAATCTTTATCACAAGGAATAACAAGGGGCGCAAATTGAAAAAAAAAAAAATTTGAGATGCACCTAGCGTTTGGTACATTGAATCCATTTAATGATAATGCAAAGATTTTTTTTTTTTTTTAAAAGATTAAATATTTCAATAAATTTAAAATAATCTGTATCACAAGGAATAACAAGGGGCGCAAATTGAAAAAAAAACAATTTGAGATGCACCTAGCGTTTGGTTGGCCACGAAATGTATCATTTCAGAACGTGTGTAGCCGTCTCTGATTTGCACGGTGTACAAGTTTAATTTAAATACATTCAATTTTTGCATTACATTTTACATCATAACGATGAAGGCATAGGTTGGCGCGTCTCAAAAATTTAATTTGTATTTTTTAAATTTAAAGCTTTATGTAGCTGTGTTATGTTATAAACATATGTTATGTTTTATCAATCTACCTACGCTATACTGCAGTTTTTATCCCTTGTAAAATAAGAAGCAACTATTCATTTTGCGTATTGTTAAGGAACATATCCTTTGAAATAACATTGGAGGTTTCATACCATAGTTAGCTTGGACTGAATTGTATTTGATTTTTTAATGGCATTTTCCTTGCCACAGCTCCAATGGCAAAGCCATTCTAAAGTCTACAGTACCAGACACCATAACGTCTTGGGTTGTGAGCGCTTTTGCTACCAACATGGTGACAGGACTTGGCGTCGCATCGACAACATCAATGGTATGATGTATATAACTCGTCTTTAAAAAGAAATACACTGTACAAGTGACAACTAACAAAGGTCGTTGTAAGTACATGCTAAGTCAACCATGTCGTTGTAATAACAAGCTAAGTCAACCATGTCGTTGTAAGTACATGCTAAGTCAACCATGTCGTTGTAATTACAAGCTAAGTCAACCAGGTCGTTTTAAGTACATGCTAAGTCAACCATGTCGTTGTAAGTACAAGCTAAGTCAACCAGGTCGTTGTAAGTACAAGCTAAGTCAACCATGTCGTTGTAAGTACATGCTAAGTCAACCAGGTCGTTGTAAGTACATGCTGAGTCAACCATGTCGTTGTAAGTACAAGCTAAGTCAACCAGGTCGTTGTAAGTACAAGCTAAGTCAACCATGCCATTGTAGTTACATGTTAAGTCAACCAGGTCGTTGTAAGTACAAGCTAAGTCAACCATGTCATTGTAAGTACAAGCTAAGTCAACCATGCCATTGTAAGTACAAGCTAAGTCAACCATGTCATTGTAAGTACATGCTAAGTCAACCATGCCATTGTAAGTACAAGCTAAGTCAACCATGTCATTGTAAGTACATGCTAAGTCAACCATGTCATTGTAAGTACAAGCTAAGTCAACCATGTCGTTGTAAAGTACAAGCTAAGTCAACCATGTCATTGTAAGTACAAGCTAAGTCAACCATGTCATTGTAAGTACAAGCTAAGTCAACCATGCCATTGTAAGTACAAGCTAAGTCAACCATGTCATTGTAAGTACATGCTAAGTCAACCATGTCATTGTAAGTACACGCTAAGTCAACAATGTCGTTGTAAGTACAAGCTAAGTCAACCATGTCATTGTAAGTACAAGCTAAGTCAACCATGTCATTGTAAGTACAAGCTAAGTCAACCATGTCATTGTAAGTACAAGCTAAGTCAACCATGTCATTGTACGTACAAGCTAAGTGTAACACATCTTCTACTCTGACATGGCGTGGGATGTTATTTCTTATGCTGTGGGTTACGTCAGTAGTATGGTTACTTATATTAACGCTTCAGGATGCCGACTCAGTCTTCTTCATTCTTTCACTTATTATTCAGGCACGTAAAGAAGAATGCTCAATTCTAGTTAAAACTCACAGTACTTTATTGAACACACTTTATATTGATAATATTAATAAATAATCCTTGCATGAATGTAATTTCACATATATATCTATAGTATTCCATCATTAAGAAAGACACGTCCTCAGACTACTATAACTCAGCTCAACTGTCTAATCTCACAGCTCTCACGCTACTGACTGACTCTACTGCTCTGCGCTCAGCTCTCCTTATCTCAGTCAACTCATACTTTATTACCAGCAAAGCGTGCAAAACAACCGCTCTGACAAAACATAATTTTACTCTCCAAAAACGTGGAGTTCACATTTGTTCTCAAAAATACAATCCACATTGATTGTCTCTCCCCGTGGAAAAACCTGGTGAACACACTCACTGTCCACTCATGCTACCTCTCTGTTTACATGTGAAAACATAGTCCGTTACATGCCCCACCCATCTGAAAAAATTTTGTGCAACAAAATTTTTGGCATTATATGTTGAAATAATGATAATGTCTCTTAGAAAATTTCAATGCCACATCTAACAATCAAATCAGTGTAACAACATTAACATTTCATCATTATGAAATACAGAGTCTTTTACTGTTAATATCACACTTAATAGTGAATAATGTACCCTGGCAAAAAATTAAAAAATCACCAATGACAACCTCTTAAAATCTTTATGTATGATAATGTGAAGTGACATTAACATCTTAATGAATAATAAACACTGCAAAATGAATGTAACAATCTTAAATTTTGCATTAGAAAATTTACAATCGGTTAAAATATGATATTCATTTACAAAAATTGATATGTACAAGTGTCTTATCAAAAAACTGAGTGAACGTATGTGTGTATATTCATTTAGAATGTCTGACTAATGTGTCTTAAGTCAGTGTCTTTGTCATTGTCTGCATGTTCAATGTGTCTGGAAAGGAAATCAGCTACTGTATTGTCTTTTCCTTTTATTGTCCTTATCTCATACTGATAATCTAATAGTATCAACGACCATCTGTTTATTTTACTATTCGCTATTTTCTTTCTATTCAGTGCCATTAATGGCTTGTGATCAGTCAATAATGTAAATTTTCTGCCTAATAGATATTTCTGTAGTTTGGTAAGTGCCCACACAATTGCTAAGCATTCTTTTTCAATGGTTGAGTAGTTAATTTCAGTTCTGCTTAATGCTCTACTTAAATAGGTAATGGGTCTTAATTTATGATTGTATTCTTGCATAAGGCAAGCTCCTAATCCAATGTTGGAGGCGTCTGTAACTAGAGTGAAAGATTGTTTAAAATTGGGTGATAACAATATGTTGTCACTTTGGAAAATTTCTTTGATTGTTCTCAGTGTATTTTCGCATTCATCCGTCCATACTATTTGTTTCTTGCTATCTTTATTTATTAGTTTCCTTAAGGGTAGTGTAACATCAGAAAATTTTGGAACAAAAGTGCTGTAAAAATTGCACAAACCTAAAATGGCTTTTACTTCTTTCTGAGTGTGTGGTGTTTTTATATTTAGTATTTTTCCTCTGTTGTGTTCTGTGGGCTGAATTGTGTTTTTACCGACTTTAAATCCTAAAAATTCAATGTCCTCTTGTGCAAACTTTAATTTGTTTGGTGCTATTGTAACTCCATGTGCTCTTAATTTGTTTAGTACTGTTTTTATAGTCTCTAAATGTGTCTTCATATCCTTAGTGTGAATACAGATGTCATCGACAAAATGTACGACATTTGGTATGCCTTCTAGCATGATTCGCATGAATCGAGAAAATGTTGCGGTGGAATTAACTAGACCAAATGGCATTACTGTCCATTCGAACAAGCCTTCCTCTGTGGCAAATGCAGTCAAAGGCATGGAATCCGGATGCATGCCTATTTGCCAGAATCCTCTGTTTAAATCTAAGTGGGTGAATAATGTGGAGGAGCCTATTTCTTCCAGTAGTTCTCTGGTGTCCCTCATGGGTTCTGCATCTAATTGTGTGATTTTATTTAACTCCCTATAGTCACAACATATACGGCACTGGCCATTTTTCTTTTTTACTACTACCATGGGTGATGCTATTGGTGAATCTGATCTTTTAATCTTGTTGGTCTGTATTAAATGATTTAGTTCTTTCTTTACTTCTTCCCTAAATGCATATGGAATTGGATAGATTTTGTGTTTGAATGTGGGTTCCTGTGTTAATATTATCTTGTGTTCTAAACTGCTAGTGTGTCCTATGTTCTCTGTGATGACATCTTTGTATTCTTTTAGAATTGTTGTTAAGTGTCTGTTTGTTGTGGTGTTATTTTCATTGTCTTCTAATTGTATAACACTAGCAACGGTGGCTGTGCTACTTATTTCATTACTGATGGTTTCTAACTCTTCAGGAACAGAGTCATATTTTCTGAGCAAGTCCACATGTAGGACTTTCAATTCACCCTTCATGTGAATTACATAATCAACTAAATTTAACTTGTCATGAATTGTAAACGGACCCTGCCAAATCTTTTGTCCATTATTGTTTGGCAACCATACCAAAACTTTATCATGTACTTTAAGATCTCTGAGGTATCTATGTGTATTCTTTATATGTCTTTGTCTTTTAGACTCCCTATCAGTGTTTTCTTTAGCATTTTCTATGCCATATGTAATCCTCTCTCTAATTTTTGTAATTATGTCAAATGTGTCTTGTTGTGTGCCTTTCTGGCCTAAAATATTTTCTTTAAAAAGAGTTAACGGTCCCTTTGGATTGGCCCCAAACATTAGCTCAAATGGAGAGTACCCAGTGGTGTCTTGTATACTCTCTCTATAGGCGAATAAAACCATGGGTATATATAGGTGCCATTCTCTAGGGTGGTCTATTGTTGTTTTATTTAACATTGTTTTTAGTGTTTTGTTCCATCGTTCTACCATACCATTAGCCTGTGGTCTATATATTGTGGAATGTACTTGTATTATACCTAGCATTTTTGTAACTGCATTGGTTAAGTTGGAAGTAAACTGTGTTCCATTATCTGACAATATTTTATCAGGGAACCCATGTCTTGTAAATACATCTAATAATGCCATGCAAATTGTTTCTGAATTAATGTTTTTGAGGGGAATTGCCTCTGGCCATCTAGATGCCATATCAATCATGGTTAAAATAAATTTGTGTCCCTTATTTGATGGTGGATTAAGAGGACCAATGATATCTATAGCTACCTTCTCAAAGTTTCTACCTATTTTGTCTGTGGGTTGTATGGGTGCTCTGTGTTTACTGTGTATTGGGTTTTTTGTCAGACATGGTATGCATTTGTTTATGTGTTTCTTTATGTCCTTGTGTATGCCTGGCCAATAAAAATTCTGTGTGACCCTTTCTAATGTTTTTTTTATACCCATGTGTCCAGCCAAAGGACTGTCATGTGCATGGTTGAGTATTTTGTTTCTGAGTATTAATGGTACTATTATTTGAGATTTTTTGATTTCACCTTTCTCAAAATTTCTGATTAGAATATTATGTTTTATTGTGTAATTATGTCCTCTATAAATTGTGTTATTGTCCTTAATTTTGTTTCTAATGTCCTGAATTTGCCTATCTTCTGTCTGCATTCTAATTATGTCCTCTCTAGATATTTGTTTTGGAATGTCTAATTTTTCTTCTATTTCAGGCTGTGTCTGACTAGTTTTATGTTGTTGTCTTGTTATTGCACTTATATACTCTTTGGTTAAATTTTTTGATTCAATCCAATTTAAGAATAGTTCTTGGGAATTATCTGGAATTTCTTTAATATTTCCAATTATTAACTGACATACTGGGTTGTCCATAAGTACTGCCGTTACCTTTCCTGTCAACCATGGACAGTCTATGTCCACTACTGCTTTATAACATTCAACTTTTGTGTTATTTGCTAACATGACTGTGGTTTTTTCAGATATATGGTCTTTAGGGTCAATCAATTTTTTGTCAACTACTATTGTTGTACAACCTGTGTCTCTTAGACACTGAACAAGTTGGTTGTTTACATAAGAAGGAAAAAATTGTAAACTTCCTTCACTGTGACATGCGCTAGCTAAAGTTTCATGTGGTTTGGTGTTTTGTCTACTGTTAGTCTGATTGGAATTATATCTTTGATTTTTATATGGTTGTCTACTCCTATTTGCACTGTTGTATCTAATTGGACTACTGTTGGGTGATGTTCTCTGATAGTATTGTTGTGAATGTCCTAAATCTCTATGTAATTTCCTACACTCATATTTTTTGTGACCTGGAATGCCACAGTAGAAACATTTGTTGTTGTTTGAATAATTAGTATATGGTGTCTGGTAATTGTTTTGATGACTTTTCTGAAATTTATTGTTTTGCCATCTGGCAGGTAGGCTGTGGTATCTTCTGTTTTGATATGTGTTTTGTTTTTGACTGTCCCTATCACTGGGTGTGTTTCTAATAGAGGCTAGTGTGCTGTTTCTATTGTCTAGCTCTTCATTGGGGTGAGCATCTTTAAATGTTGTGATTGAGTCAACTAACTCACGCTCATTTTTAATCTTTCTCTCTTTAAGGAATGAAAATAAAGAGACTGATGCATTTCTTAATATTTTGTCTATGATAAACATATCCAGTAATGCTTTTGGATCATTTAGGTCAATTTCAGTTAATTCAAGCCATTTGACAAGATTGTCTCTAATATTGAATATGGTGGTGTTAGGATCTACTTCTCTCTCTAGTCTTATGTTGTGGAAATTTTTTCTATAAATGTCTTCTGTGTTTCCATAGAACTTTAACAAAACTTTCTTTATATATGTATAATTATTCTTTTGTTCTTCACTAAGTGAATTGATAATGCTTAGGCTTTTCCCTGATAATCTGCTCAATAAAATATTAGCCCAAGTCTCTTCTCTATAATTGTAAGACTGACATATGCCTTCAAATTGTGACAGATAACTAATAATTTCTTCTTTATGTTCATTAAATTCTCTAAATTTAGGTTTGTATGCACTGTTGGTTTCCCTATTGCTTGTTGATGTAGTATGCTGTCCTGATTCTATCCTAGCTCTTTCTAGTTTTAGCTCTTCCTCTCTTATTTTCATATCTTGTTCCCTTAATTTAAGTTCTTCTATTTCCTTTTGTCCTTTTAATTTTATTTCTTCTATTTGTTTAAGATCGTTTCTCTCTAACATTCTAGCTTCTCGGTCTTTGTCTTTGTCTTGTCGGTCTTTGTCTTTGTCTTGTCGGTCTTTGTCTTCTTTCTGTCTTTGACTATCTCTCTCCTTGTCTCTTTCCTGTTTGTTCCGTATTTTGTCCATCTCCCTAGTTACGAAGTCAGTTAAATTCTCCTGCTTCAAACCAAGCTTCTCACCTACTTCTAATAATTCCAAGTACTCTGCCATTTTTTATGTGTAATGTGAGTAACTAAAATTATATTGTTATGTATCAGTATATCAGTTATCTCCTTATTCTTTGGTTATCAATTAAAATAGTTTACGATATTTCATATATCTACATGTTAATGAATGTATACACAAATGCAAGTTGATACATGAATTATAAGTTATAAATAAGTGTAAGAAAAATTTAAAATAATTAAATTGTCTACTTCACAACATAAATACAGATATGTAGACGTTTACATGAATACAAATGAGACAACAAATACAAAAGTACTGTGTAGTTTATGGACCACAAGATAGTAGAAAATATGACAGTAGGTTGACAATATGTATAACAATGACAAGACAAATAGCACAAATATGACACGATCTACTAAAAAACAACAGTTATGACAATGTACAAACTAGACTTCACAGCTAACACAAAATTATCCTACAGTGTTATAAATAGGGCCAGAAGAAACCTTTACCGTTTTAATAAAAAAACTTCCCTAGGAAAGATAACACCGTGGATGTCCCTACAGTATACTCTAAAATTAAACTTATATTACACAGAAAAAGTAAAAAATTTACTTAATCTAATTAAGTATGATATAAGTATATTTTTAAAGTCTTAAATTATATATATAATACATAACATAATATACATAAATACCAAGTGAAAGTGTCCAAAAGAAATCTTTAGTTGGTCACCTCTGCTCCTCTGTGACGCTATGATTTCTGTGTAGTCGATAATCCTATGTAGTAGATGCTCCTTCTAGGTAGTAGATAATCCTATGTGGTAGTGTACTTGGGTAAAATAATCCAATGAGAAAAGTTACACCACAAATTGCTGCAATACTCCAATGTAAGTACCTTGCGTAATAGTGTAATTGTGATAATCCAATAATTGAAAATTGTCTAATTTCTCTCCGGTTCTGTTGCACTTGTGAGTAATTGAAGAATTACTTGAAGAATTACTTGACTTGAACTGTGCTGCTTGTATAAAGTAAAGATTATGCTGGGGAAATCTTACTTCCGCTGTCTTGATAAAACATCTCATCTGTAATGACATCAGACTTCTTTTGGTTTTGTGTGGATCATCTCTTTCGTTGACTAATAACTGTAAAATAGATTTCTTGCTGTTTCTTCCACGAGAATATTCACTCCACTGTTATATAATTGAAACAGTGTACCAGTTAGCTGTTTGAACTCTCAACTTTTGACTCCCGTGACTGACCTAAATTCAATCGTTGTCAGCTTGCTCTGTGTGTCGTGGACTCTTCTCAGACTTGACAAATACTCGGGCGTAATGACGTTCGATTCGAATGTTAAAATATATCATTGTTACTCAATGTTCTGTAATACATCGTTGTTCTGACACTTCTGACAATATTTGTAACGCATCGTCGTTACACCGCTTCTGACACCATTTGTAACACACTTCTACTCTGACATGGCGTGGGATGTTATTTCTTATGCTGTGGGTTATGTCAGTAGTATGGTTACTTATATTAACGCTTCAGGATGCCGACTCAGTCTTCTTCATTCTTTCACTTATTATTCAGGCACGTAAAGAAGAATGCTCAATTCTAGTTAAAACTCACAGTACTTTATTGAACACACTTTATATTGATAATATTAATAAATAATCCTTGCATGAATGTAATTTCACATATATATCTATAGTATTCCATCATTAAGAAAGACACGTCCTCAGACTACTATAACTCAGCTCAACTGTCTAATCTCACAGCTCTCACGCTACTGACTGACTCTACTGCTCTGCGCTCAGCTCTCCTTATCTCAGTCAACTCATACTTTATTACCAGCAAAGCGTGCAAAACAACCGCTCTGACAAAACATAATTTTACTCTCCAAAAAACGTGGAGTTCACATTTGTTCTCAAAAATACAATCCACATTGATTGTCTCTCCCCGTGGAAAAACCTGGTGAACACACTCACTGTCCACTCATGCTACCTCTCTGTTTACATGTGAAAACATAGTCCGTTACACTAAGTAAACCATGTCATTGTAAGTACAAGCTAAGTCAACCATGTCGTTGTAAGTACAAGCTAAGTCAACCATTTCGTTGTAAGTACAAGCTATGTCAACAATGTCATTGTAAGTACAAGCTAAGTCAACCATGTCATTGTAAGTACAATCTAAATCAACCATGTCGTTGTAAGTACAAGCTAAGTCAACCATGTCATTGTAAGTACAAGCTAAGTCAACCATGTCATTGTAAGTACAAGCTAAGTCAACAATGTCGTTGAAAGCACATGCTAAGCCAACCAGGTCGTTGAAAGCACATGCTAAGTCAACCAGGTCGTTGTAAGTACAAACAAGTCAACCAGATCGTGGTAAGTACCAGCTAAATCAACCACGTCGTTTTAAGTACAAGCTACAACCAAATAGGTTGTTGTAAGTAAAAGCAACAACCAACCAGGTCTTTGTAGGTACAAGCTACACCAACCAGGTCATTGTAGGTACAAGTACAAGCTACATCAACCAGGTCGTTTTGAGTACAAGCTACACAAAACAGGTCGTTGTAAGTACAAGCTACACCAACCCTGTCCTTGTAAGTACAAGCTCCATCAACAAGGTCTTTGTCAGTAAAAGCTACACAAAACAGGTCGTTGTAAGTACAAGATACACCAACCAGGTCGTTTTAAGTAGAAGCTCCATCAACCCGGGCGTTGTAAGTAAAAGCTACACAAAATAGGTCGTTGTAAGTACAAGCTACACCAACCAGATGGTTGTAAGTAAAAGCTACACCAACCAGATGGTTATAAGTAAAAGCTACACCAACCAGGTCGTTGTAAATACAAGCTAAACCAACCAGGTCATTGTAAGTACAAGATACACCAACCAGGTCGTTGTAAGTGGAAGCTACACCAACCAGGTCGTTGTAAGTACAAGCTCCACCAACCAGGTCGTTGTAAGTAAAAGCTGCACCAACCAGGTCGTTGTATGTACATGCTGCACCAACAAGGTCGTTGTAAGTAAAAGCTACACCAACCAGGTTGTTGTAAGGAAAAACTACAACCAACCAACCAGGTCTGTATTAACATTACGGTGTTCCAGTCAACTTGTGAAACGGTCCCATACTCCAAAGTTAAAGAACCCCTGAACTGACACCAATACATTATTAGTTTATAGCGTTTAAGCAAAGTACAACAATAACAGGAATTTGATTAATTCCAAATCTATGTTTTTGACCCAGTGTTGGTTGAGAAATTATCCACTAAACGCTTTTACTCCTCTTACTTCCCCTGACAGCTACGAGTCTTCAAGTCCTTCTTTGTGAGCCTAAACTACCCCCTGTCTGTTGTACGCAATGAAAAGTTTGTGGTACAGGCGACAGTCTTCAATTACCTGAGGGAAGATCTCACGGTGAGGAGCAAACCCGTTAACTTAGTACACGTTTTTATATTTAAGATGGTTGGAAATCATTGAATTGTATGTATACGTATTTAACAACGTCCTTTGTATTCGGTTAGGGGAAAATATTGTCATTTCAAAGTTAGATGCGCTCGTAATATTTCCGTTTAAGAAAAGATGGTTACTGAAAAGAAACTTTTCAAAACTTTCATTCTGATGTTACATCTTTGAATGATTCTAAACAAACAACAAAAATAAATTCCTGTGTTAAAATATCTCAGCTATTTATTCTTCACATTCTGTTTTGATATTTGTAAGTGTTATCATTACAATACAGTAAATGTTTCATTATACATTATTGTTTTCAAGTATATAAAATATCATATGTGAAATTCATAATGAAGCTGAATACCTTTTTAAGTTCAGATGACATGTGCTCAAAGCCACAATGGCAACAATCCAACATTGTCTTTCAGGTCAAAGTGACATTAAAAAGTCAGACTGGGTTCAAGAGTGTAAAGATCGCTCAGAATCGAAGCGAGAGTTTGGTGACTGGGAACCAAGATGTTGTTGTCATTGTAAGATCACTTTTGTTTTATGTCTTGAATTTAATCTCCTTGGTCTAAAATTACCATATTTTATTATTTTATTACTTTAAAATACATATTGATATAATTGTTTTTATTTATTGCTGGAAGAAATATAAATTTTTTTAAAGAAAATTAAGACACATTCTTAAGACTAAAAGCACTAAATATTTAATGCAACGAATATACAGTTGAATGATTTTAGCCTAATAGTAAGGCAGACAATGCTACAGTTGGGTGATTTTAGCCTAATAGTAAAGCAGACAATGCTACAGTTGGATGATTTTAGCCTAATAGTAAAGCAGACAATGCTACAGTTGGATGATTTTAGCCTAATACTAAAGTAGACAATGCTACAGTTGGGTGATTTTAGCCTAATATTAAAGCAGACAATGCTACAGTTGGATGATTTTAGCCTAATAGTAAAGCAGTCAATGCTACAGTTGGGTGATTTTAGCCTAATAGTAAAGCAGACAATGCTACAGTTGGATGATTTTAGCCTAATAGTAAAGCAGACAATGACTGTGTGGGATTTCATCCGATGATGACCACGTGATCAAAGGAAGAAGGACAAGAAACACAAAGAAATCAAGTGCATCATTAGTCTACTTTCCAGACAAAAATTACTATTTATATCTCCAGGGCCGGCCTTAGGCCACTGCAACCTATGCGGCCGCAGTGGGCCCCGCACTTCCATAGGCCCCACGCTAATTCTAGGTGTAAATTGTTATAATTAAACCATTATAACTTATAATCGTGTCTAGGTCAGCGTGTTTATTCTGTTTTTATGTTTTACAGTGTTATTTAATACATTACGTCGTTGTTTCAAGTGATTACGACAAGTAAATAAAATTGAAAAAAATGTGTAGCTGCTCGGGTGCTTTACCTCTTATCTCGTCCTTTAGGGGAACTTGAAGTAAGATGAAACAGACCCCGTTCTAAACCCTTTACAGTCCAAGCCTATTGATCGTGATTTTTTTTACTTAGTAAAGAATGAATAAAATGCAAAGACGAATGTATTTTCTAATACAAAATCTTAATTTTCACTTATTATCCTTATCCCTACCCAGACTGGGCCCCGCGCTATCCGTTTCGATTAGGGCCACGCAATTGTTAGGCCTCGGCCCTGTATATCTCTCTATATAATATACATAATATGTGAAGTTTTCTTTAGACGTTCTTCCCTATCATGTTCAGATACTAAGTGAGAGAACACACTTTGGAGATACAAATATTTGTTGTGTGTTTAATATGTTCGCGTTTAAAAAAAATAAAAATAAAACTTAATAATAAACACCAATATCCGCAAGTGATATTTTTCCGTTTACAGGTCAAATCCGATACCCAAACCGTGGCTTACTTCCCCATCTTGGCCACGTCATTGGGTCTGGTGGACATTGAAGTGACGGCCCAGACCACGGTAGCAGCAGACGGTGTGCGCAGACAGATCCTGATCAAGGTAACCTTTGCGATTGAGTGGGAAGAGATTTAAGAAAAACAGGATTTCTTTATTGATGGACGTGCAAGCCGAAAAATTTCATTGAAAGTTTATTCAAGAAGTGCGTTCTTGCTATCGTTATACGCCGAACTGAGGAGCTGAATCATCATGGCATATGGCTTATAAGTAGCTTAATCAGCATGGCATATGGCTTATAAGTAGCTTAATCTTCATAGCATATGGCTTATAAGCGAAACTGATTATTTGAATCATCATGGTATATAGCTTATAAGGGAAACTGAGTAGCAAAATCATCATTGCGTATGGCTTATAAGTGGCTTAATCATAACGGCATATGGCTTGTAAGCGAAAATGGGTAGCTTAATCATAATGGCATATGGCTTATAAATGAAACTGAGCATTTGAATCAACATGGTATATGGCTTATAAGCGAAACAGAGTATCTGAATCATCGTAACATATGGCTTATAGGCGAACCTGAGTATTTTAATCATCATGATATTTGGTTTATGAGCGAAACCGAGTATTTAAATCATCATGGCATATGGCTTAGAGTTGTTATTAGATATTACCAGATACACAAGTATTTGGGTGAAAGAATATAACACGATATTGATATATTTGGATGAAAGAATATAACTATTTATAAGCATAGCATAGTGAGTCACTGTTTAAAAACCTGCTGGCAGTCTCTCTCCCCTTCCACACCTTATTATCATTCTCTATTTATCCTTCACGTTATTTAATATTATTTCGCACAGTCTTTACTGTCCCAGGTTGGTGACACGCGATAACCGAATTTCATAAAATAACTGCCCGTTAAAAAAAAATATTCGTATTTTCTTACACTCATAAGTCGCAAAACAAGTTTCTAGGGGAAGGGGCATCAGGACTTTTTTGTGTCCACTACTGTTGTATGCACTATTGTTGTGTGCACTAATGTTGCACCCTAGATTCCCGCGATAGTTTTTGTTATCTCCACTTGGTTTAGTCTTTGACCCACCCAATTTGTTGATATTAATCAGAGCTATTTTCTCCACACAGCCAGAGGGCGCCCCAGTCAACTATAATGTACCGGTCTTTATCAACAATCAAAACACATCTTCTCAAAAGTTTGAGAAAAAGGTTTCATACACACTTCCAGCATCAGTTGTTGAGGGTTCGGAGAAGGCCAGGGTCAAAGTCACTGGTAAGAACAAATTTTGTGGGGTTTTTTTTTCAAATTCACTCCTTTCGGTACAGATTGAAACATGAAGTAGACCACTCTTTTTACAGTCATATAGTTATCAATTATTTTTGCCGTGTTTTACTCATCAATTATTTTTGACATGTTTTACTCACTATCAATTATTTTTGCCATGTTTTACTCACTATCAATTATTTTTGCTATGTTTTACTTATCATCCATTATTATATATTACTTATATTTTTTACCTAATATTAATTATTGTTGCCATGTGTTACTTTTCATCAATTATTATTGCTATTTTTACCTAATATCAATTATTGTTGGCATGTTTTACTTATTATCAATTATTATTGCTATGTTTTACCTTAAATCAATTAATGTTGCTATGTTTTACTTAATCAATCCTTGTTCCTATATTTCCATTATCATCAATTAATGTTGCAATGTTTTACTTAGTATCAATTATTGTTGTTATGCTTTACTAACCAAGAATTGTAAGGCGCGCCATTGTGTTGCCGATATCTAGTTTTAACTTGGTATTTTTTTTTTTTAAATGTCGACAGGTTTCTATCTATGACTATAATGCGGCGTTTAAAGATAATTGAAATTTAACACCACAGTTATAATTATTGGAGACTTTTTTAAGGAGAGAGTAATCTGGGTTATATTCATAGCTTTGTATGAGTGAGTCATTTACTGCAGCTTTGTATGAGTGAGTCATTCATAGCTTTGTATGAGTGAGTCATTCACAGCTTTGTATAAGTGAGTCATTCATAGCTTTGTATGAGTGAGTCATTGATATATTTGTATGAGTGAGTCATTCATAGCTATGTATGAGTGAGTGAGTCATTCATAGCTTTGTATGAGTGAGTCATTCACAGCTTTGTATGAGTGAATCATTCCTAGCTTTGTATGAGTGAGTTAGTTATTCATAGCTTTGTATGAGTGAGTCATTCACAGCTTTATATGAGTGAGTGAGTCATTCATAGTTTAGTTTGAGTGAGTTAGTTATTTCTTGGTGAATGTTTACAACAAAAACTTTAAAAAAAAAAATCTTCCTCAAGTATCCGCGAAGATGCTCTTTTCTATTAATTGGATTTTTCAATTACAGGTGACCTGATTGGTTTAAGTTTGAGCAGCTTGACATCACTCATCAGTCTTCCAACTGGTTGTGGTGAGCAGGTGATGGTCAAGTTCGCTCCTCAACTCTATATTGCCCAATACCTCAAAGCCACAGGCCAGATGACCGACACTTTGAATAGGACAATAGTTGATGCTTTGGAAGCAGGTGACTAAATATAAAACACATGGTAGCTGTTCTCCATCGTTTTCCCTCTAAGGGTCTTTCTTTTTATTTCATTGTGACATCAACAAAGTCTTGTTAGTATACACATCAGTCAAAATCCTGACCATTTCATTCTGAACCCTAAAAGCTCATTCATTCAGAACCATGACCATTTCATTTATTCAGAACTTGACCATTTCGTTTATTCAGAACCATTTCATTCATTCAGAATTCAGAACCATGACCATTTCATTTAATTTAGAACCCTGACTATTTCATTCATTCAGAACCCTGACCATTTCATTTAATTTAGAACCCTGACAATTTCATTCATTCAGAACCCTGACCATTTCATTCATTAAGAACCCTGACAATTTCATTCATTCAGAACCCTGACAATTTCATTAATTTACAGCCCTGATCATTTCATTCATGCAGAACCATGATCATTTCATTCATTTAGAGCCCTGACCATTCCATTCATTTAGAACCCTGACCATTCCATTCATTTTGAACCCTGACCATTTAATTCATTCAGAACCCTGACCATTTCTGCTACTACCCTGACCATTTAATTAATTTAGAACCCTGTCTATTCCATTTATTTATAACTCTGACCATTTCATTCATTTAGAACTCTGACCATTTCATTCATTTAGAACCCTGACCATTTCATGCAGAACCCTGACCATTTCATTCATTTAGAATTCTGACCATTTCATTCATTTAGAACCCTCACCATTTCATGCAGAACCCTGACCATTTCATTCATTCAGAAACCTGAACATTTCATTCATTTAGAACCCTGATCATTTCATTCATTTAGAACCCTGACCATTCCATTCATTTTGAACCCTGACCATTTAATTCATTCAGAACCCTGACCATTTCTTCTACTACCCTGACCATTTCATTCATTTAGAACCCTGTCCATTGCATTTATTTAGAACTCTGACCATTTCATTCATTAAAACTCTGACCATTTCATTCATTTAGAACCCTGACCATTTCATGCATTCAGAACCCTGACGATTTCATTCATTTAGAGCCCTGACCATTTCATGCATTGAGAACCCTGAGGATTTTATTCATTTAGGACCCTGACCATTTGATTCATTCAGAACCCTGACCTATTCATTCAACCATTCTTTCTAATGTCACAATACCAGGCTATCATCGACAACTCAAGTATCAGCGAGCTGATGGCGGATACAGTCCCTTTGGCAACTACGATCAGAGCGGCAGTACTTGGTACGTGGTTGGTTGGTTTCTTTCTGTAGAGTTTCAGCGAACCTAACATTACGAAATCGATAAACTGCCTTTGAAAGATTTTAACAAATGGAAATGCCTTTTAATCTATTATAAATATATAGTAAGCTTTCAGCGGCTGTAGAAAGGCTTCGGTGAGTTTCTAAACTCTGCATTTTGTTTTTGTTTAAGAGGTCCTGCGATAAATGTACAATGTGTGGAATACAATAAAATGTCGAAAAGTGTAAACTGATTGATCACTTCACGCCTCGTCCAATAGTTTGAGTATGATCCATGAAACAAGACGTGTTAAAAGCAAAATCATCCGTGTATAATAACAATAATAAAGTTTCTTTGAAAATCACGCTGCATACGCGAAGGCTCGATGCGCGGTACACAGTCGACCATATTAAGAGAGAAATCAAAACAATTTATATTATACTATATTGAAATACAAAACGAAACATTACATAAACTACGTATAAGAATAACCATTCTTAGTCTTTAATCCCTTGCAACCATAAACAACACAAGCCAATATACATCTAAGAGATAATAGCTAGCTGCCAAACATGGTAGACAACATCACCCAAGCAGGTGTTTGCGAAAAAGACGTGTTTTCAAATCGGTTTTAAAAGTACTCCAGTGTCTGGCTGTTTTTGAGAGAGACAGAAAGTGTGTTCCAAATTGTTGGGCCAGCCAATGCGAAAGTGCGCCTTCCGTAAGTCTCCAGGCGAACACATGTTATCGAGAGTTTGCCACTATCGGATGAGCGGAGTTGTCTAGTGGGTACATATGTCGTCATGAGCGCTTTGAGATAGGACGTGCCAGGTCATGCAAGCAGTGGTAGCACAGAGTTGCAATTTTGTATATGCGTGTTTTAGCATGGTCAAATTTGCGTTTGCGAAGAACAATGCGAGGAGCATTATTCTGTGCTTTATGAATTTTATCACGGAGCTAAGCTGGAAGACCCACCATAACAGCAGTGCAGTATGCCATGTATAAATAAGCAAGTGTAGACACGGCAACGACATTTGATTTTGTCTTGTTCATTTAAAAAAAAATAATTAAGTAATACACCAACGTTTTTAAAGAAAAAAAACATATTTTATTAAATTATAATTTGTAAAAAATATGTAAACTATTTGGTTGATTTGAAATGTAATTATCTGTAACAGTTTGAGTTATTTTTTTTTTTAAATGACTGAATTTTGCAGGCTGACGGCTTTCACATTCAGGGTACTTTCAGAGGCACAAGATTATATCTACGTAGATCCTGCTACGCTACATAGATCAGTAGGATGGATTATAAACAGACAGAACATAGACGGATCCTTTAACGAATTTGGCAAGATCCTTGACGGAAACACACAGGTATAATTCAGAATGTGTTTTAGTATGTTAACTGTAGTTCTGTTCACTGGCGCATCAGCATCAAATTATAGAGCTAACTTTCATCATGTGTTATTTTCAGTGGGAGGCAAGTCTAATAATAAAATTTTACTGTGTCCTTGGACTTAAGATTTGTTGCTTGTAAAAATTACTTTCATTACAAGTTGTGTATGTGTTATCATTTATCAAAGCCTATTTTTGTACATTCATTATTGGAAAATGGAATGTGCCAGATTGTGTCCAGTTTTCACATTTCAATCGAACACGACAAAAATGATACTTACGTTTTTGTATAAATATTTTTTTTTTAATTATTCTTGTGTCAAAAGTTTTTTTCACCCTTCAGTGAAATCGATGTCATAGAATAATGTCAGTACCATTCAACTAAACAGTTGTCACATCTCAATAACTTAAGAACCTTTGAATTAAAAATGTTTTACATCTCAATAACTTCAGCACGTTTCAATGAAAAAGTTTTCAAATCTCAATAAATTCAGCAACATTCTACTAACAAATTATAATTATTATTATTATTTTTTGCCTTTCTTGCTCTCCAGGGCACAAGTGCTGGCCCTTCACTGACAGCTTTTGTACTGTTGAGCTTGTTGGAAGCCAAAGACTTATTTGAAAAGGTGATACACTTTAGAAATCTATTCTTTCAACAACAACAACAATATTTATATATATATATATATATATTATTTATCAAAACCTGTATGGGGATGCTATTGCAATAACTGCGTTTCCAATAAATTATTTTTTAACGCTTTGGTGTGAGTGTGACACGCTGAAAAACGGGATGAAGCCGTAATGGGCAGGATATGGCATCATAGATAAACAATGTTTAAATTGAGCTTTGAGATTTAGGAACACTCAATTTTGGACACGTGCAATTTTTTTTTTCCATTGTGTTTTTCCATAAACTTTTAAATTCTATAAAATAATTTCTTGTATTGAACATTAAAATAAAATATAATCAAGCTCTCATTTGGAGACAATAGATGTTTTCTTTATCGAGTTAAAAAATGTATTTTTGTAATTCGAAACAAATAAGCCCATAAAATGACATATTTAATGTTTAAATGAGCAATACAATATAATCTCTTCAAATGTATGCGAATAAACTATTTGAATAAACCATGAACACTTAATTTTAAATTAATAATTTTCTTCCCAGCCTTGTCACGAAAGCCTTGACTGCTATGATTTCTATCTCCTGGGAAATGCCACTAAGAACACTAAAGCTAACTTGGAAAATTTAGTGGCCAGCAATGCAATCGAAGAGCAGTTCTCTCTCGCCGTGGTCAGCTACGCGCTCAGTAAGGCAAAGAGTCCTTTGGCTAAGAGAGTTTTTGACAAGCTTCTGACGTTTTCCAAGACTGAAGGTAATCATGAAATAAACGCATGATAAATGTAGTTACTAGCATGATTAATTCATTCTGTATATTGTGGAGAGTTTGGACCACGACGGCGCCGGCCGTCTGACCAGGGATTAGCGGCCGTCTGACAGGTACAGCCGGCGCCAGCTGACAGAGATTACGACCGAAGGATCAAGCGCTGGGGGCGGTACCGGCCATCCATATGACCAGGGCATTTCCCTGGTCTGTTTGTAATCTGGCGCCGATTGGGAAAAAGGGGCGGGGTATAATGCGCAGTCCAGACCTGGGAGAGGAACTATGGGACAGGGAGGTATAAATAGGGATCTCTGGACGGGACGAAAAGGAGAAGGCGGCCGGACTGAGAACTAGATAGCAGGGAGAAGTCAGAGTTGTGAGATGAGTGAAAGTGTAAGCAAAGTGACAGCCCAATAAAGAACACGAGTTTAAATGTTATCGCCGGAGTTGTTTCCTTATTGAGTACCAGATCTAGATGAAGATAGCAGAGAGTAAGCAAGGTTCCCTTACAATATTGATAAATGTTGGCCTGATTAAAGGACATGGTGTAAATATGATAGTTTAAATGGAAGTAGGCTACTCTCTTAGGCTTGACCATATGTTTATCACACTGCCAAGAAATATTTACACACTGTAAAGCGTACAAGGTCATACACAGTACAAGTGGTATGTACTATTACAGCGGTTCTCGACCTTGCTAATGCCGCGACCCTTTAATACAGTTCATCGTGTTGTGGTGACCCACAACCCTAAACTGTTTTCGTTGGTTCTTCAGAAATATTTGTTTTCCGATGGTCTTAGGCGACCCCCGTGTAAGTGTCGTTCTACCCCCCAAAGGGGTCACGACCCGCAGGATGAGAACCGTTATACAAGTAGAGCACACATGTGAGTTTAATTGCCTACATGTTACTCAGCCCAGGCACCTACTGCATTAAATTTATATTGGTTTTGAATGGATACCACGACGAAGGGCGGGAGGTACGTCCGACCAGGGTGGCAATTTTTTCGGGGCGCTGCATTTTGAGTCCACATATAATAATTTAAATGGTTTATTGCTAGTAGTTTTGCCTTTTGGTTCCGTGAGTGGCAAAGACAAAGAGTGCCTTTAATGGGTTCCTTGTTTTGATAACTAGAACGATACGACTGGCAATGATCAAGGCTGGGGCAATCAAAAGCTGCGCCTGGGGCAAGCAAAAGCTGCGCCTGGGGCAAGCAAAAGCTGCGCCTGGGGCAAGCAAAAGCTGCGCCTGGGGCAAGCAAAAGCTGCGCCTGGGGCAAGCAAAATCTGCCCCTGGGGCAAGCAAAAGCTGCGCTTGGGACAACCCTTGATTATGCGAACTTTATTCTTCCCAACCATGTATTAACACACATGCTTTAAAATAACAATGCCCCCCCTCCCCCCCCCCGTCCTTTTTTCCCCCGCTTGACCTTGTTTAAGATCACCTCTTTGATATGTCATTTGTTTCGGTGGTGGAATGAATCCATTAGACACTCAACAAACAACGGCGTTACGTGGCATAAAACCAGCATCCGACAAGCCCCCCCCCCCTCGCCCCCCATCCTTTTTCTTAGTGACTCGGCCAATGCAAGATTTTTTAAATGACCAGAATTTTTTTTATCACAAGGAAAGGAATCGTGACAAAAAGATCTCATCTCAAAATAATCACAACCCAACATTTAAAGACTAAAATTTTTTCAGCGGTCACTACTAAAAAGTGAAATCAATAATTGTTTCTGTCCCTTTTTCATGCATTTTGGTTCAACCTTTAGTTCCACCCTAGTACCGTAAAATGTGTATCTTGCCAAGGAAAGAATAACGATCATAAGAAATAATATGACTAGCATAAAGGTAACAAGTATAAAACAACAGTCAAATATCATGCCAAATAACATAAAGATGACATTTAAATTTAACTTTGATAATTACAAGTGGGAAAAAAAAAACATATCGGAAACTTATTTGGCTTCATATGTTTTTTTACTATGTTGTTTATTGCATTTGTTAAAGTTAGATACATACAATGTAAATGTGTATTTCTTTTCATCAATTTCACAATTAATGACACAAGGAGATTTAAAAGGAGCAGACTTCTTTTAAGGCCATTATCATGTAATATTCCTGTTATTTTACTTTTATTAAAAAAAAAAATCGCTACAAATAACTACCAAGCTGAATCTCACATTTGATACGCCAGGTAATATTTTGTACTGGAAAGCCAACAGCTCGGATGCCGACGCTCCACGAGTGAGGTATGCTATTTGGCGCCCACCGCGAATTCAGGCCCAGTCCAGCGATATCTTGATAACGTCTTACGCCATCTTGACTTTCACGGAACTAGGTCGCGTCAACGAGGCTCTGCCCGCCGTCCGATGGCTGACCACACAACGCAACGAACAAGGCGGGTTCTCTTCCACTCAGGTATCTTCGACACTATTAGGTCCTACATGTCAGTTTACGATGGATGGTATTTATCCAGAAAATAAGATTGAACAACTTCAAATTAAATGAGATAGATCTATTAATTTAATGTATGCATTTTATTTGTCATCTTCAAAATCTAAAAATTCAACAATTTGTTTTTGCACAAAGTGTGAAGACATCAGGTAACATCATGTTTTAGCCTGTGTCTTAACCTAATTATACTTTCAACGTATAACTAAAGTGTCCAATATTTCTACCCACTTTATTTTGTTTTAAACAACATCGTTACCAGTTAAAGGCTATATCACATTCTTCCTTCCCTTTATTTGGAAAAGGTTATTTACCTTCTAATTTGTTCTTAAAAAATGCTTTCGGGTGACGAAATTTCTAGAATTTCTGTACTGGGGTGTTTCCAACTCCCTTCCTATTAATAAGCCGGCAGCTTTCAAATCCAGCAGAGATTTTTATCTAATTTTCCTAGACATATACGAGACGTAAGATAACGATGGTAATCTTACGAGATTGTATTCTTTATGTATGCGTATTAAAAATTGAATCCTTCGAAGATTATACATTTTCACTTACTGTGCTGTAAGGTATTATAGTTTTCATAGGTCTGTAAATCTTATTTGTCTTTGTGGATAAATGTAATAGTACAATTAAATTGAATATTCTTAATATCAATAGCTCGTTTATTTTTGCATACTGGATATCAGAATGTAGTTATTTTTTGTTCATCTAACGAGCCAAATCTTCAAACATATTAAATTTGCAAATACCATATAACTGTAGGTAACACATACTTTTAACATAAAAAGACACACATATCATGTAACATTCTTTAAGACATAAAATTAGTGCAGCCATTGGTAATTTTAAACATGTTATTTCATAAAACCTGATGCACCTGTGTACAAGATGCCACACACTCTAATTTAACTTCTTGGTTTATTTCGGATAACTCGGAAATTTATTGCACATCTCAAGTAGAGAAACATAATTACCTAGGTGTCACCATTAGTAATGAGCTGACATCGTATAAACACGGACAAATTCTGTATAAAAAGTCAAACAATTTTTTTTTCTTAATTGAAGCCTACAGAAAATTCGATATTAGCTGCTGGATAACACACTCCTTAACATATACCTAAGATCACATCTCACCCGCTCCATCACAGATACCTGAGATCACATCCCACCCACTCCATCCCAGATACCTAAGATCAAATCCAACCCACTCCATCACAGATTACTAAGATCACACCCCACGCCCTCTGTCATAGATATCTAAGATCAGTTCGATCCGGGCGAATTCTTTATCTTAAAGTTAGGACTGAGAGTTATACAAATTCTTTTGTTCCCCAGTCTGTATGAATTTACCAGCGTGTTACCACAGCGATAACTAAATCTAAATCTTCCGTTTCTATTGCACTAATGGAGTTCATTTATGGCTAATTTCTACGCGAGAGACATACATTAGATGCCTTCAGTTAATTTTTTATAATTAAAAAAACCCTTTGTTTTAGTTAAAACCATGTATTTATTTGTGTGCTGGTAATGAATGATTAAAATGTAATCATAAAACATTTCAATTTTTTTGGTTCATCAAATAATCTTTCTTATCTTATCTTATCTTATCGTGAGCAAGCGTTAATTAACACTAACCTATTTCCCTATCTTAATTCAAGGACACAGTTGTCGGACTCCAGGCTCTATCAGCCTACGCCACCAAGTCTCTGAGACCCAACACAAAACTCAACATCCAAGTGACTGGCCCCTCCGTATTGGCCGCATTCAATGTGACCAGAGACAATGCCTTGTCCCTCCAGATAAAACAGGTATATACTTCAAACAAATCATAATTAAAGTCTTGCAGCTAACAGGCATCTTTATGATGTCAAAAGAAAATATGTCTTTATTTGTTTTGTTTTTTTGTTATTCAAGGTAAACATTCAGAAACATTATTTAGGCGCAACCATTGAAAACGACTTAAGGGTTAAAGGAAAAAAAACCCAGTGATGTCAGGTTTTGAGAGTTTTGAGAAAAATTGATAAAAAGTTTGAAAAATTATTCATGAAAGGATAAACATTTCAAGATGTCTAAATATTTATTAGTTGACTACACTGCTTTTTCGATTGGGCCTTTGTCCCATAATAGTCTATTGAATAGAATGTACTCATAGGGGAGATAACTTAAAACTTTTGGAAAAAAACTGCCATAACTTGTTTTTCCTTTGAACCCTTCGTTTCTTTATCACACTTTTAAATGTTTACAATTATTTAGATGTTTGCCATTGCTTTTTGTTTTCTATTCTCCCCCAAAGCGCCCCCCCCCCTTTTCTTTTTTTGGTCTAAATTTTAAATGTTTTGTATACCAGTCTTGCGTTGTGTGATAATCTGTGAAAGGTGATTGACTTAACTTATCCAAACTGATCATTTTTACTTTTCCAAATCCATGGTTTTTTTTGGTTTCTTCTCAAAGTAGATCTCTAGCCTTAGTATTCGCCTTAACCTATTTGACGTCAACATAGAGTTTTCTGTATTTCACGGCGTCATTGGACGACTCCTGGCCTCACCACCCCCCAACGGAAGGCGCTGCGTGAGTTAACAAAGTGAGCCCCATTGTCTAGTGTAAAAGGTTATTATTTTCATTGAATTATGTTGCCTTATTTCTGCAGCTGCCGGGAGCCCCTAAAGACGTTGTGATCACTGCCACAGGAAGTGGTATCGCCCTGGTAGATGTAAGTATTCCACACAAATAACAACCTAGAAGTTTCCAGCTCTAAGAAACAAAATGAAAAAGCTGGTGAAATATCACCTGAATTTATGTTTGCTATTAAATCAATAAGGTTAGCTTCACGTTTAAAAAAAAAAAAATCTTTTGTTATGGGTGTGTGTTATTGTTGTCATTCTTTTCAGATCGATTACAGCTTCAATGTAAATGCGGAGCTTGCCACACCCTCATTCGACGTCAGCACAGTACTGCTGTACGACAAGGTGGACGCATTCAATCTAATGATTTGTACTAAGTAGGTGGTTCATTGCTTAAAAATTTAAAGGTGATTTAAAGACAAAATGATTTGACAGCTGTGTACGCATTTTCTCCCAACAATTTACTAGACAGCTGTGTACACATTAATTACTCCAAGAAGTATGCTATCCTGCCGTGTACGCATTTTCTCTAAGCTGTATAGTAGACAGCTGTGTACACATTTTCTTAAAGCAATATTAATTCTTTATATCGCAATGAACTGCGTTTGGGGATGGTGGGGGGGATGGTGGGGGGGGGAAAGGGGGGGGGGAATTTGATCTGCACAAATGCCATGTACTGAAATTTTTATACTGCAATATTTTCTGTTCATATTGACATCAACTCTGATGGTCATGACGTTAACAAAGCCTGTTGTTTAAAAAAAGTGGCATTGAAATGTTGAGGTGTGACTCCCACAGGCGGTTGCTGAGTCGGGAAACGGGTATGGTGGTGCAGGAAATCAACATCCCGTCAGGATTCAAGCCAGACCTCTCCACACTCGGTAATGTTGTTGGTCTGAAGAGGTCCGAGAGACAGGGAGATGTTGTGGCCATCTATTTCGATAAGGTTATCTGTCTGTTGTTGTCGTTGTTTTTTTTTTCCCTTTTGTTTTTTAATTGAAAAAAAAAGGGGGGGGGGCGGGTTGTCTCAATTTTATTTTGAAATGGTTTGTCATATTTATTTTTTTTCCTTTTTTTTTTGTTTGTTTTGTAATTTTTTTTTATTTTGGGACAAATCTGTATTTACTTCACTATAAAAAAATTTAGTACGTTGGTATTACATTTTGAATTATTATATGTTCTTCTTTTTTAGTTTTTTCAGATCCTTAGCACTGAAACAGCGGGAAAATTATTTGTCTATAATAATTAACTAGATTTTAGCAAGTCAATTTAAACAACAAAAAAAAAAAGATCAGTTTTTGTGGTATTTCCTTTGAATTCTGATCAGTGTTCCTTTCAGAAATTTTCACCCGGGATGGGGTGGGGCACTTCAGATTTTTGGGGGGCAATTCTGATTTTTCGGGAAGGGGGGGGGTTGCAGTGCCAGCAGTTCCAGTTGATTTATTGTTGGACATATTTTTGCTCGGTGGGGGGGGGGCACTTGGCTTTCCCCGGGGTGGGGGCACTCACCCCCCCCCGGGGGATATAGCTGCAAGAAACCCCCTGAATCCGATATTATTTATAAATTAGAATAACATGCAAGGTCACTTCAAATTCTTAAGTTTTTCTTTTAAAGAAACCTTTCCAAATATGTTTTTTCATACATCTCCCCCAGATTGGCAGCGCATCGTTGTGCTATAGCTTAAGAATGGTGCGTGAATCCAAGGTGGCCAAGTCTCAACGAAGCTATATCAGAACATTCGATTACCATGACCCAGGTAGGTGGACATCGATCTTTAATTCCAGGGCTCACTAAAATGTTACCAGGTGCTGAACTTTAGCATTATCGACCAGTTTTAAGAGGTCTTAACATGGTTAAAGACATTTTCCGTTACCTTTCGTTAAAGCTTTTGTCTTGCAAAGAATCCAATACTTCTTTGCAGCAGCGTGAACTGTAAAGAGTTTCTCATCATAACAATGATAATAATAGGGAATATGAAGGGAAAAGGAAAGGGAACACATGTACGAAAACAGCGATCGTGTCGGCCCGACGCCTTCGTTATGGATAATGATTGAAGGACTGCATTCAAGCTCTGCGAATAAAATAGTAATATAGCTTAAATCAAAAGACATGACCATAAGATGTGAACGTTTCAGCTTAGAGCCTTCTTTAGCGATCAAGACAAATAGAAGCACAACAAGAAGCAGAGCACACTTAAAAAAATATACTTCTCCCAACCTTGTTGTCACTTGCTCTTTTAAGAATCTTATTATTTATCTCTTCCTGTTCTTTTTACTGTGCTCTGTTTCTTGTCTTAATTCTATCGGGTTCAGTACCAGCGATTGCCTTTTTTGTTTGTTTTTTTTTAATGCGGAAAATGTTAAATTAGTAAGATATAAAAAATTCTGCCACTCCAGAGACCGGTTTATAAAATATAAAAACAACTGACATTTTCAACTGTGCAAAAAAAAACAACAACAACAAAAAAACCACCCAAAATAAGAATTATAAGACATTTGAGAAAGCGGCTGACTTTACTGTAAAATAGTACTGTAAAAAAAGATATTTAAAAGATGCGGCCATTGTCTCATGCTCTCAGCGACATACAAAAACGTCTCAACTAATTGCACAACTAATGGAGCAGTAAAAAAAAATAGCCACAAAGATTCAGCACAAATATTTCAAATTGAGTTAAGAAAATGCTGTAAAATATGTTTGTTTTCTTATGTTGACTTCAATGACAAAACAGTGTACTGAGTTTTAAAAAAAAATGAACTTGTTTTGAGCCCACGGCAAGACATTAATTTAAAATGAAAAAAAGATCCGTTTTCTATCCGTTTTCCTTTCTCAGATGACCAGTCCACTGTGTTCTACCAACCGAAGGCGATCCGTGACGCAACGATCTGTGACGTATGCGACGGCTGCTGCCCACGTGTTTAATACCTGGTCTACGTCACTCTTCAACACTCCAAACGTGTCGGCACTAGTCGTTGTGTATTGAATAATCGCATAATTTTCTCAGAATTTTTTTTGTCAAAGCTCATGCTTTGTTTTGTTAGAGCGTCAAAGAAGTGGCTTTTCTTTAGAAACATCATGACCTAAACGTTTGCATCTAGCTTACTTCTTTGTTCCACAAGAATGATCTCTTCACTTGGCTAAACAATAATAAATGCCATCAAAATTTTATAGTTTCATAACGCAGCTATTTCAATTGTGCATTTCGCAGGTTCGGCTAAAGATTCATATCAAACTATTAACTGCTTATCTTTTGGAGAAAAAAAAACAACTAAGAATTTATTTTTTAACCGCTTGTGTGTCCTTATGTTCAAGTATCCTTTTATTTTTTATTGTAACAATATCGTCTCGTGAACTCTGATGTACTGAACGAAATCACTTCAGCTAAGCCGATTTGTAATCATAATGTCACTCTTAATTTCAGTTTGATGATCAACTCCTACATTTCCTCATGATACTTACTAATTCAGTTCAGTTCTAACACGATGGTCATGTCTTTACTACATTTACATTACAAAATATTTTGAGTTAAATTCGCAAGTATGACAAGGTTTTTCGTGTATATTTTGTTATGAATAACGTTGGTACATAGTTTTATAACGGTTTTTTTTTTCAAATTTAAAACAATGTTTTTTTTTAAAGTTTTTTTTCGTAGCTATGTTTTATTTCCTTTATTCTTACTTGACCAAGTTCAATTGTAAAAAAAAAACTTTTTATTCCCTTTTTTTTATATAAGAAGTGAGGGGGTCCTCAAAATTAAAGTTTTTTTTCGTAGCTATGTTTCATTTCCTTTATTCTTACTTGACCAAGTTCAATTGTAAAAAAAAAAAAAATTTTTTTTTCCTTTTTTTTTATTTTTTTTGTAGTTATTTTTTATTTTCTTTTTTTTTATTTGACCAAGTTTAATTGTAAAAAAAAAAAAACTTTTTATTCCCTTTTTTTTTATATAAGAAGTGAGGGGGTCCTCAAAATTAAAGTTTTATTTCTAGGATACATAACACTCGGTTGAAGCTCTACACTTCGTTGTTTTTTTTTTAAATGCCTAAAAGACATGTTTAAAAAATTTACAAAAATAGTTATATGGTAACATTTTAATCGCCGTACTAACTCTCATAGAACTTCTTTTGTGAATCTGTGTAGTGAGAGAACTAGTCTCAAATAAAATGGCAAACAAGTCATCACTGTCGTTGTTTTGATAATTATTGGGTTTTTTTTGCTTTCTTCGTCTGCTGTGTGCGTTTTGTTCGTGCTGTGTGCGTTGTGTTCGTGCTGTGTGCGTTGTGTTCGTGTTGTATGCGTTGTGTTCGTGCTGTGTGCGTTGTGTTCGTGTTGTATGCGTACGTGTGTATGTTATTTGTTGGGTGTTAGTGTTTTATATGTTTATATATGCATGTGCGTGTGTGATTGTGAGCATTTGAGGAATTATGTGCTTGTGAGGGATTGTATGCATGTGAGTGATTGTATGCATGTAAGTGATTGTATGCATGTGAGTGATTGTATGCATGTAAGTGAGTGTATGCATCTGAGTGATTGTGTGCACGTGTTGTGTACACGTGAGTGATTATGTGCTTGTGAGTGATTCTATGCATATGAGTGACGTATGCTTGTGAGTTATTTTGTGCAACTGATTGATGTACAACTGTAAGCACAGGAGTGATTATGAACACGTGCGTGATTGAGAGCACGTGAGTGATTGTGACCATGTGCGTGATTGAGAGCACGTGAGTGATTTGTGACCATGTGATTCATGGTTAGCAGGTCTTTTCAGACGTCACAGCAGGGTATCACCAGGGTATCACCAGGGAAAGCACCAAGTCTGGACTTAACATTAAGCTTTTTTTTGCATAGGACTTTATCGTGGACCTCATTTTTACTATGTGTGTGTTAATTTACAATTTGGAAGCTTTGAGCTTGGGCTGAGAATATTGTTCTTCTATCTGCACAGAGGAACTGTTGTTGCATAGAATCTACAATTATAAAACTAACAGTAGAAATGCCATACTTAATAGTTATAATTTTTATACTACAATCTTAAAATAAATGTTTGTTTTTTTGTAATGACACGCAGCCAAAATGTTTTAGCAAAGTCTAGGTTTTGCTTTTTGAAATTCAAATACACCTCCTCTCAAAGCAATGCAAAATCCATTAAGCATAAAATAAGACCCGTTAATGGGAACAAAAAGCGCATTATGCCAAATGTTGGAGTATCCATGGATCCTTGAGGATCGCTGTTGGAGTATCCATGGATCCTTGAGGATCGCGGCGTCGCAGACCATGGCTGAAATAGCTGACCTCTGTCATCGCTTGGTAGTAACAGTCAATGATGGCATGAACAGATGAGCACCACTTTAGGTGAGAAAAGACCTTTAAAAAATACTTTCTATTTCTTGTTGTTGACCCATTTGTCATGTCTGGAGAGGAAGGCTCTTAGCCGAAGCGTTCTTCTTTTACTGTCCTGTCTTTCTATTTCAAGGTTTCAAATTCCTTACTCTTCTATTCCTTCACGTAGTTTGAACGCGTTTTTTAAATTTACTATAAATTATTTTAATTAGCAAACCGTTCAGATTTAACAATGTAAAAGTCCTGATTTGTTTCACTAGTCTTATTATATTGTGGGTTGGAGAAGATGTAGGTTTTGGAAGACAGAAGCAACAAATGAGAATGGATGCAACACATTTCAAGAGCAGCAACAATATAAAATGTTTACATATTCATTACAACGAGGCACAGGCTTATGACAAAACAAAAATCTGATATGAATATGTTGAAGCCCATAAACAAGGAACTATTTGTCATGTTGGGAGTGCCGTAGACGAGTTATCAACCCAGTGGACAACAGCCGTCACATACGTCACAGATGCTTGCATCACGGATCGCCT